CAGGGGTCCTCAAACTTTTTAAACAGGGGGCCAGTTCACTGTCCCTCAGACAGTTGGAGGGCCGGACTATAGTTTAAAAAAAAAAACTATGAACAAATTCCTATGCACACTGCACATATCTTATTTTGAAGTAAAAAAACAAAACGGGAACAAATGCAATATTTGTATTTGCATGTGGCCCATGGGCCGTAGTTTGAGGACCCCTGCTGAAGGGTGACTCATTCCGTTCCCGGTCAAGGACACGTACCTGGGTTGCAGGTTCCATCCCTGGCCCCACCGATCGATGTTTCCCTTGAGCGTTGATGTTTTCCTCCCTCTCCGTTCCTCTCTCTCTCAAAATCAATGAAAACATATCCTCGGGCGAGGATTAAAAGAAGAATCACCTAAGTTGTCAATACAGTGGAAGACTTCTAATAACCCGGTGGGAGGGGGGGGCAAATGCATCGTGAAAAGTTGGGTCACTAGTGGGGAGATAATGAATATGTTTTGTTGCATCGCTGAATCGCAGCCAGGTCAGACCCTCCATTTAAACAAAGCTTTTTGAGACTCGATCCCCAGTAGAGGAGGTACAGGAGGCAGCCGATCAATGACTCTCTCTCATCATAGATGTTTCTATCTCTCTCCCTCTCCCTTCCTCTCTGAAATCAATAAAAAATATATTTATTTTAAAAGAGAGAGAGAGAGAGAGCATAGCATCCCCTGTCCCCATGAGTAGCCCCTCCCTTTCCCGGCACCTCTTCAGCCCGATCCTGAATTTCCCAGGCCTTGGCCTGGGTGCCGCCTCCCGCCTGCTTCTCTGCCTGGGGAGCCGGCAGGAGACCTGAAGGGTCCAGGATCCCGCTGGTCTTGTGTGCACGTTGAATGCGTCTCTAAGGAAAAGCTCGGGGGGGGGCGGTGGAAATCTGGGCGTTCAGTGGAGTCGGGGTGATCTGCGGGGTTCCACCACTGACGGTGGCCATGATACCATCACCACCGGGGACTACAGAGACGGACATGAGCACCGGCTGGTCCTCGAGGGATTCGTGTTGCTTCTTGGCTGCTCGCGGGGCTGGTCCTTCCTACCGTTGATTTTCCGCGTTGGAGGGGAGGCATCCCGGCTGGATGGGATGCGCCCCCAGATCCCTGACAGTCCCGTGTGCTGGTCCCCCCCTCCCCCAGGTCATGAAACGGGTGCGCACGGAGCAGATTCAGATGGCCGTGTCCTGCTACCTCAAACGCCGGCAGTACGTGGACACCGACGGTCCCCTGAAGCAAGGCCTGCGCCTGTCCCAGACCCCCGAGGAGATGGCAGCCAACCTCACAGGTGGGGGCGGGCCGCTCCGGGCGGGCGAGCTGGAGAGGGGGACGCATGGCAAGGTCCCTTCCGCTCTGAAGCCAATGAACATAGATATTTTTTTTTAAATACCACCATTGCCCGGCCGGCGTGGCTCAGGGGTTGAGCGTCGACCTACGAACCAGGAGGTCACAGTTCAATTCCCAGTCAGGGCACATGCCCGGGTTGCGGGCTCCATCCCCAGTAGGAGGCAGCCGATCCATGATTCTCTCTCCTCATTGATGTTTCTATCTCTCCTCTCCCCCTCCTCTCTGAAGTCAATAAAAATATATATTTTTAAAATATCACCATTGATAGCCTTGAAACGAGGAGAGAATGCTGGTTTTAAAAGGAAAGGACGTTCTCAGGACACACACGAAAATTATACATTTAAATACATAGTAAAAATGTGAAGTTGAGGACGCCCCCAGGAAGCAGAGCAGAAAGACCAGTGGGATATGGGGGGGGAAGATGAAAGATCAGTTCAGGAATCTGCCCTGGAAGCAGTAGGAGAGCCAGAGAGAAAGCAGGGGAATCAACAAAATGATTCCAGCCCGGCCGACGTAGCTCAGCTGTTGAGTATTGGCCCATGAACTAGGAGGTCCCGGGTTCGATTCCCAGTCAGGGCACATGCCCGGGCTGCGGGCTCGATGATCCCCAGTCGGAGTTGTGCAGGAGGCAGCCCATCAGTGATTCTCTCTCATCATTGATGTTTCTATTTCTCGCCCTCTCCCTTCCCCTCTCTGAAATCAATAGGAATATATTTTTTTATATATATTTTATTGATTTTTTACAGAGAGGAAGGGAGAGGGATAGAGAGCCAGAAACATCGATGAGAGAGAAACATCCATCAGCTGCCTCCTGCACGCCCCCCACTGGGGATGTGCCCACAACCAAGGTACATGCCCTTGACCGGAATCGAACCTGGGACCCTTGAGTCTGCAGGCCGACGCTCTATCCACTGAGCCAAACCGGTTCTGGCGGAATATTTTTTTTAAAAGAATAATAATAATTCTTTTTCCGTCCCCATCTGTGTGTCTTCTCCGCCTTAGTCCAAACAGAGTCTGGCTGTGCCAACATCGTGTCCGCCGCCCCGTGCCAGGCCGAGCCCCAGCAGTATGAAGTGCAGTTCGGGCGGCTGCGGAATTTCCTCACCGGTGAGTACCCGGCACCCGGAGCCTTGTCCGATAAAGAACAAGTCATGGGGATTTTCCTCGGAGCCTGTTACGTTCCAGGCACGGTGTTGGGTTAGAGAATCAAAGGTAGTTTACCGCCCTGACCGGTTTGGCTCAGTGGATAGAGCGTCGGCCTGTGGACTCAAGGGTCCCAGGTTCGATTCCGGTCAAGGGCATGTACGTTGGTTGCGGGCACATCCCCAGTGGGGAGTGTGCAGGAGGCAGCTGATCGATGTTTCTCTCTCATCGATGTTTCTAACTCTCTATCCCTCTCCCTTCCTCTCTGTAAAAAATCAATAAAATATATTTAAATTTTAAAAAAAAGAAATATTAAAAAAAAGTAGTTTACCACTTGCCTCAAACTTATGGTCTTCGGAATTTCTGAGAGAGTTGAAGGACAAGGCTAAAGTTTGCAAGGGTGAGGGCTCTGGGTGTATTTTTGTGGTATTGTATATATATATATATTATTGATTTCAGAGAGAAAGGGAGAGGGAGAGATAGAAACAGCAATGAGGAGAGAGAACCATGGATCGGCTGGCTCCTGCACGCCCCACACTGGGGATCGAGCCCGCAACCCGGGCATGTGCCCTTGACCGGGAATCGAACCGTGACCTCCTGGTTCACAGGTCGACGCTCAACTGCTGAGCCATGCCGGCCGGGCTTTATTGGGCTCATATTTCAGTCACCAGCCTCAGAAAACAGGGTCCTGGCAC